GACAAGGGACTCAACCCTTCAGAGCCTCAATGTGCCCACCTCTAAACAGAGCTGGCACTACCCTACAGGAATATGGGGTGTTCCCGTAACTGTTTCCCCAACAAATTATAATCTTTCCTCTTTCCTAACTTGCCATTTCACAGATGAGTCAGCTGAGGCTGGAGATGTGATGTCCTTCCCAGTGACATTCACTTGGTAAAGAATTGCTGAGCAACCACTGGGTGCTGTGGCCAGGCCAGGGACACCTGGTTTCCCACCACCTCCATGGCCAGCACTTTGTGCGGGCCCTGGTATGAGGGACACTGCCTCCTGCAGGAATCAGACGTTGCCGTAAGTGACTGTGCTTCACTTTCCCCAGGGGTTTCTAGGTACCTCCAGCCTCTGGCACCTCCAAATGGAGCCAGCTTTGTGAACCCCCAGATGTCCTGACCGTCCTTTGCAGGCCTCAGTCCAATCTGGCTCTTTCCCCTACACGCACTTCTTTCCCTAGAATAGATCCTCCATTGGCCGTGTCTCCAACACGTGGCCCAGCAATGTTCTGCCAGCTTTACCTCCCCTCCCTTCCTCCCTGCCGCATCAATCCAGAGCCTCCCCTCCTTCAAGATTCTGTTTCAGCCCGCCTGGTTCCAGGAGGAGGAACCTGGTCAATTTTCAAAATTCAGGTGTCCTCCAGAAGTTAGCCTGAATTTTTCAGAGAAGAAGAGATTCTCATTTTGTCCTTCAGGTCCACATTTTATAAATGAGAAAGCTGAGGCCAAAAGAGATGACAGGTAATGCGGGGTCCACAACTGACTCTCACCATTGTTTTTTTCTGTGACATGAAGCTAATGATTATTTTTAAAGGAATATTTACTGCCACTCTGATGATTAGCATTGAATAGTTGGAAGCTCGTAAAATAGTTTAGGAAAAAATCTGCCACAGAAAGAGTGAGATTATTAACATTTCCTTCTAGTCTTTCTGTCTGTGCATATTCTAAAACACAAAATTGCTAGGCATTTTATTATTTTTTCAGGGTGGGAGGAGATAGCTAGGTTTGTTTGTTGGTTGGTTGGTTGGTTTTTAGATGAGGTACTGGAGAATGAACCCAGGACCTCGCGTGTGCTAAACATGCGCCGTAACCCCACTGGACACTTGAAATACTCCTTTTCCCCCAATATCATGAGCATTTCTTTTAAAGTTCTTGAGCCACAGATTTTAATGATGGCTTAACCCCATTCAATGTGCCATAATTTAACTTATTTCTTGTTGGACATTTGCATTATTTCCTTTTTCCTCTTTTGCCTTCATAAGAAAGCACTTTGAAGGCAGCAGCCGTCTCATTCCTCCCTGTACCCTTC